TGGGATTGGAAGATTGAAGCTAGACTGAGGTACATGGCTAGTTCAAGGCCAGACTGAGCTACATAGTGAGATCCTGCCTCAGAAAACCAAAAATAGCTTAGTGAGCAGGTGTATGCCAGTAATTCCAGCACTCAAAAGACAGGGACTGGAGGATCACCACAATTTGGAGGCCAGCCTCAGCTACATAGTGAGTTCAAGACCAGCTTGAGCTCCTAGCAAAACTTGGTCTTAAAAAACAAACAAACAAAAAAACCAAAAATAGATAAGTAAAAGCAGCTCCATATATTTAGTTATTTTAAGGAAACTGCCTGATCTGGTGCTTTTGGAGACTCAGTTATTGAGGAGATGGGTTTGCTTCAGAGGACTAGACATCCCTGTTCCAGTGGTTCCAGTGTAGGCTCTGGAGTCAAGGGAGTTCAGATTCTGGCCGTAGCTGGCTATGGTGGCACAAAAACCTGCAATCTCAGGTACTCTGAGGTTGACACAGGAGGATCACAAGTTTGAGGCCAGCCTGGGTAACTCAGATCCTGTCTCATAAAGTTTCATAGTAAGGCCTGGGGTTGTGGCTCAGCACTGGCTGCATTTAATCCTAAATACTGAAACAAAATTCTGGCTGTAAAGTTACTAGCTGCTGCATGACTGTAGGACGTTGCATTTCTACTCTATGCCTCAATTTTCTCATATGTGAGATAGGAATATTAATAGTACACACTCACGAGATTGTGGGAAGACTTCACGTGTTCAGGACTGTAATTCTATGTCTTGTTACCAGCAGCTCTGAGCTACCAGTGGTACAGCCATGACAATCATACATGTACCACTGGTGGTTCAAGCTGGCAGGAAGGTGTTAGCCTCTACCACCTGAAGAGCTTGGAATAGGTGTGGAGCACAGTGTGTGTCCTGTTGTGGGTGAGCCAGTACAAATACTTAACAGCTGTAAGCACACTTTGTATATTACAATTTACCAAATCTAAGACATCATTTTATATAAAGTTAATTTTTAAAAATGCTGCTATGACATTCCATTGTGACACATCCAGAAAAAAATTGAGAATCTTAAATTAGGGAAATTTGAATATAGACTAGGTGCCAGATCAGTGGTGGCAAACCTATGGCACGGATGTTATTTTTCTTTTAAGACAAAAGGTGTCAATGTACAAGTTGTTTTTTCTAAACTAAAACCCCAGTCTACAGGTTTAATCGCGGGTTGGCACTTTGTGATAAGCGGGTTTGGGGTTGCAGTTTGGGCACTTGATCTCTAAAAGGTTCGCCATCACTGCTAGGTGATATTAAAGAATTATTGATGTTAGAGATTAGCTCAGTGATAGAGTGCCTGTCTAGCATGCTTGAGGCTTAGGTTTGATCCCAAGAAGTACAGAGAAGAAAAAAAGGAATTACAACTTAACTGTTAATATTATTAATTACCATAAAATGATACAGATACAGTTTAAATTTTTAATTAATTAATTTGAGATAAGGTCTTACTGTGTACCTCAGGCTGGCCACAAACTCGTAGTGATCCTTGTGCCACAGCTTCCCAAGTGCTGAGATAACAGGCATTCACCATCTCACCTGGTTGACATGTTTTTCAAAGTGATTGTTAGCCAGCATGGTAGTACATACCTGTAATCCCAGCACTCAGAAGGCTGAATCTGGAGCATCACAAGTTCTAAGACAGGCTGGGCTACCTGGTGAGATCCTGTCTCTAAAACAAAACAAAACAATAATAATAACAGCATCCCCCCGCAATAGATGTCCTTACATACTGAAGTATTTATGGGTAAAATGGGATAGTGCTTATGAAGTACTTACGAGTAAAATAGTACATTTGTGATGGCTTTAAAATACATAGTGTAGCTGGGCGTGGTGGCGCACGCCTGTAATCCCAGCACTCGGGAGGCTGAGGAGGAGGATCGTTGTGAATTCGAGGCCAGCCTGGTGCTACAAAGTAAACCCAAGGCCAGCCTGAACTGCATAGTGAGATCTTGTCTCGCTATGTCTCAAAAAGACCAATATGTACGTAAATAAATAAATAAAATACATAGCATAAAGTGGGGGTCATAGGCAAAATTGGAGTGAAGTTGTTGGTCATTGAAGATGAGTGCTAAGTGTATGGAGAGTCATTATATTTTGTCTCCTTTGTGTATGTTTGCAATTTTTCAGAATAAATTTTTTGTGGTATCAGAGATTGGATTCATGCTAGGCAAGTACTCTCCCATGGAGTTATACCCCCAACACTCCTGTTTTTTCTGTTCTCAGACACACCCTCGCTAAGTTGCTAAGGGCTGGCATCAAATATAGTGATGCTCCTGCCTTAACCTCCTGAGTGCCTGGCATTACATGTGTGCATTACCATGCCTGGCTTCAGTAGTACGAAATTTTATTTTAAAATATATCCATCTCTTAAAATTGATCCAATTCAGTCTCCGTGTTAGCTGTGTGGAATTCATACTATCACGATCTTTGATTTATAGATAATGAAACTAAGACACAGATTAAATCATTTCCCCAAATTACATAGCACGTAAGTGATAGCACTAGCTTCAGACCAGTGGTGACAAACCCATGGCAGGCGTGCCACAACCAGCTGTTTATTATAATTAAAAGCTCTAAAAGGTTCGCCATCACTGCCTAGAAGTCTAGCTCGACACATTACTTTTTATTTAATTTTACTTTAGTTGACACATAGTAAGTGTACATATTTATAAGGTATAGTGTGATAGTGCAGCATATGTACACAATGTGTGGTGTTCACATCAGGATGATTGGTGTATCCATCACTTCAATATTTGTCATTTCCTTCTGTTGGGAACATTCAAAATCCTGTCAGGTGTGGTGGTGCACACCTACAATCCCAGCACTGGGAGACTGAGGCAAGGTGATCACTGAATTCAAGGCCAGCCTGGACTACGTGTGAGTTCGGCTTGGAATACATAGCAAGACCTTGTCTCAAAAAGAAAAAAGAAGGGGCTGGGGATACAGCTCCATGGCATAAGCGCCTGCCTGGCAAGCGCGAGGTCGTGAGTTCGATCCCCGGTACTGCAAAAAAAAAAAAAAAAGAAAAAAGATCCCCTGTAGGGCTGGGCTGGGAATGGTGCTTGGGGGTACAGTGTTTGCCTAGTATGGATAAAGGCCTGGGTTCAATCTCAGCACCCCCCCAAAAAACTCAGGTCTTCTCTGCCAGCTGTTGTGAAATGTACAATTAATTGTTATTGACTGTAGTGATGTTACTGTGCTATTTAGAACATTAGAGGTTGTTCCTCCTATCTACCTGTGTCTCTGTACCTATTAAATACCTTTTGTCCATCCTTTCATCCCTTCCTTTTCCCAGCCTCTGGGAGCCACAGTTTTACTCTGTACTTCATGAGAACAACTTTTTTTAGCTTCTGCAGATAAGTAAGAACATGTATTTGTCTTTCTGTGCCTGACTCACTTCATTTCACGTATTATCTGGTAGGCTCAGCCCTGTTGCCACAAATGACAGGATTTTATCCTTTTTATGGCTGAATAATATTGTGTAGTGCCTATAACTACATCTTTTCATTCATCCATTAATGAACACCTAGGTTGATTCCACACCTTGGTGCTTGTGAATAATGCTGCAATAAATAAAAACATGAGTGCAGGTGTCTCTTTGCAATACTGATTTCCTCTTCTTTGGATGTATACTCAGTGGAATTCTTGGATCATATGGTAGCTCTGTATCTAGTGTTCTGAGAATCCTCTATGGCAGTCCAAAATTACATTCCCATAAGTGGTGTATGAGAGCTTCTCTTTCTTTATATCTTCATCAGCATTTATTTTTTGTCTTTTTGATAATAGCTACCCAAAAATGGGTGAAGTGATTTTGATTTGCATTTCCCTGATAGTGACATTGAACATTTTTCATATGCTTGTTGGCTATTTGCATGTTTTGTTTTAAGATGTGTCTGTTCAGATTATTTGCCTGCCTGCCTGCCTGCCTGTTTGTTTGTTTGTTTGTTTATTTAGAGGCAGGGTCTTGCTACGTAGTTCAGGCTGGCCTTGAACTTACTGTGAGTCTAAGCTGGCCTCAAACTTGGGCAGTCCTCCTATTTTAGCCTGCTCAGTGTTGGGATTATAGGTATGTGCCACCACACCCGACTTACGTTTTGACTTCTATATATGAGGTACTGTATAATAAAAAAAGAGTTTTGCGTTTAAGCCAGCCATGGTGGTGCGTGCCTGTAATCTCAGCATTTGGGAGGCTGAAATGTAAGGATCACTGTGGGCATGAGCCTAGCCTGGGCTACATAGTGAGTTCAAAGGCAGCTTGAACTACATAACAAGAGTCCATTTCTAAAAAGAAAGAAAGCTAGTGTGTGTTTAAATTTTTAAAAATTTATTAAAGCAAAAGCCAGATGTCATGCGTGCCTATAATCCCAGCACTCAGGAGAATGAGGCAGGAGGGTCAATGTGAGTTTGAGGCCAGCCTGGGCTACCTAAGCGAGTTCAAGGCCAGCCTGTACTACATAGTGAGACCCTGTCTTTAAAAAAATATATATATATACATATATATATATAAATAATATATATATTATGTATCTATACATTACAGTAAAAGACATGTTCTCATTACTTCTCCTCAAAATCCTCCCCCTGACTTGAAACACATTTATCCTATAGTTCTTCCCACTTTCTGAAGCAACTCTGGAAGTCCTTTCTTCTGTCTTTAATTGTACTTTTGTGGCTGCCTCGATGTCCTACATTGATTCAAAGTATGTACCTTTCATGTCGCTTGAGTTTGGGGAGGAGCCAGAAATTGCAAGATCTGGTAAATAAATTGTCAGATTATGATCTGACAGGTAAATTGTCAGATCTGGTAAATAAGATGGATGAGGACACACTGTAATATTTTTCCAAACCTTCCTTTCAGTTAAACGGCACTTAGCAGCATCACCATATTTTTTTATCACACCTCTTGAAGAAACTCACAGAAGAGGACTTCCTGAAGTGCTTCAGAAAGTGGCAAGAATGATGGGCTAAGTGTGTTTGAAGTGAGGGTGGTATTTTGAGGGCGATTGACGGCAGTGTGTTTTTTACTGTAATGAAGTTTTTAAACTTACATTGTGTATTTTGATCCTGGATAGTAATGCCTTGTCACATGAATAGTAGGGAAATACATTCTGTCATCCTATAGTTTAAGATACTGCTTTTGGGACTGGGGATTTAGCTCAGTGGCACAGCGCCTGCCTGGCAAGCGCAAGGTCATGAGTTCAATACCCGGTACCGGAAAAAAAAAAAAAATACAGCTTTTAACTACAGTGCTACATTGCCTCTCATAATGCTGCTTATAGATGTGCACGCTTGTTATTCTGCTGTGTATCATTCTTAAAAACACTTGGAAGGAAACATTCACCTCCTTAAATTACATGCACTTTGCTGCAGCTAAAATATAGACCCTTCTCATGTAAGTGTGTTAATAAAATACCTGGGAGGTGGTGGAGATATGTGGCTTTTTTTTATTTATTGGTACAATTTAGATAGACATAACGATCACATTCATCATAGGGAACCTGTACCTGTTCGTGGTATATCTTAGTTCCTCTTCTTTTTCCCCATTCCCCTCCCTTCCTTAGACTTTTCTTTAACAGATAGTGTCTTCAGTAGCAGTTTTACTTCTACAGTCTTGTGAATTTGCAACTTTTTTGTTGTTGTGCTCTTTCTAAACGGAAACCCCCAGATTGTATTATCTAAGGACTATAAGGTGACTGACCATATTGGGTAATTTTTGGACACAAAAAATGCTTGAGCACAGGGTTACCTGATCTTATCTGTTAACTATGTTTAATATGTTGCTGCCAAAGTGTGTATTTTCCTTTTCCACAAGTAAGCTATTTCACATCCTCAGCTTAGTGTGAATGTGCTGAGTTGCTTATTTTCTGCATGCATTTGCTCCACATGACCTCCTCTGAGCCACCTCTTTGTATTGCTTCTCGTGATTTTCACTCACTCAGAGATACAGAGTTATGTTACAGTTCTCAGCTGTTACATATTTTTCTTTTTTAAGAGATGAGATCTTGCTATGTTGCCCATGCTATCCGTGAACTCCTGGACTAAGCAATCCTTACGCCACAGCCTCCCAAAGTAGCTGCGACTATAGAGGTGTCCCATCACACCCAGCTCTCTGCTCCTTTTCTTTCTTTCTTTTTTTTTTTCTTTCTGTCTGTCTGTCTGTCTTTTTGAGACAGAGACAGGGTCTCACTGTGCAGTTCAGGTTGGCCTTGAGCTCACTTTGTAGCCCAGGCTGGTCTCGAACTTGGAATTATCCTCCTTTCTCAGCCTCCCGAGTGCTGGGATTACAGGCGTGCACCACCATGCCTGGCCCTCTGCTCTTTACTTGTTAAAGATATTTATATATCAATGGCATTAAAGTGGCATTTCTAAAACTTGACTCCAAAGTTTAATCTCCTTTTGCTGCAGTTGTAGACAGTTGAACAGTCAGTAAGAAGTTGTGAAAAACTGAAAGATGTGATTATGCATGAAGCCCTTGACTTTCCTTTCCTTTCCCAGGTACAAGAACATTCCACAGATGTCGTTTGATGATACAGACAGGGAGCCAGATCAGACCTTTAGTCTGAACCGGGACGTTACAGGAGAATTAGAGTACGCTACAAAGTAAGCACAGAATCCGACTTCTCTCTGCGACTCTCAGTGTATTTTTGGCCAGTTTTCTGCTCTCATTAGAGAATTAGAAATGAGTCAAAACTCAGGGGAGGCTTGATCGTTGGTTTTGTCAATTTTTGGCAAAGTCGGTGCAAGCCACAGACTCGTTAACTTGTAAGCACTTGGCAGATCTGGAGGAGTTCCTAGGTTGGCCTTGGGAAACATGTTTTCAGAATTCCTCTTTGCATAGTGGGCTTACAGAGACTTGAGTTACATGTGACCACCTTATCTTTTCATTAGTTTTGTCTTTCCTAAGGGAGAGGTCAGCACTAAACATCCTTTAGCATCCCTGCCTGGTTGCACAGCATTTGTCATTCCTGTTCCTGCAGTGTTTATTTTGTTGCCTTGGACAGGATCTGGCAGACACTCAGCAGATGTCCACAAAATTAACTGCTTGTCCAGAGAGGGCCCAGGAGTGTTCTCTGACATTTGCCTGGGCTTTGCCACAAGTTGGTGCTAAAAGTTGTTTCTGCTGGTGCTGAGATGCTTGCTGCTCGGTAACCTGTGTCTTTTCTCTCTCCTTTTCATGCTCAAGAATTTCCCGTTTTTCAAATGTCTATCATCTCTCCATTCATATTTCGAAAAACTTTGGAGCAGATACCACAAAGGTCTTCTATATTGGGCTGAGAGGAGAATGGACTGAGGTAGGAGGGGCTGTGAGACGCGTGTCTGCACCGCATGGAGCAGGTGCCATCAGGGAAGGGGAGGAAGAGCAAGTGATACATCAGCGTGTGTCTCTCTGTCATTCTCCTGGTTTTGTCACCATAAACTATTCTCATTTGACAGACCAGAAGTATTTTTAATAGGTTATCGTGTAATTCAAGTCAGTGCACAGTTTTTCAATGGCAAATTCTTCACTATGTGATCAGGGGCCAGGGCTGTGGCTCTGCGGTAAAGCTCGCGCTTAGCATACCCGAAGCCCTGCGTTAATCCCCAGCACCAAAAACCAAAACACTGTGATCTTTCTTGTTGTAGGCAGCAGACATAAGATGATAAAGAAGATGGGGCGCTCTATGCTCTCGTGGTGCCCTCGTTAGAGAAGGGGAAAGAGTGGGGAGTGGATTTCTCCATGGCGGTGAATCCCTGATAGTGGTCTTTACCGGCTTGTCAGCATGAAAAGAGGGCGGCCTCAGAGATGACTCTGGGAGAGACCCTGACTGGGGTCCCTCCGTGAGTGCCCTGGGAAAGAGCAGTCCTTCTCCAGCTCGCTGACCCAGCCTCTGTTTTCTTGCAGCTTCGGCGGCATGAGGTGACCATCTGCAACTACGAAGCGTCGGCCAACCCGGCAGACCACCGGGTCCATCAGGTTACCCCGCAGACACACTTCATTTCCTAAGGCCGGCCGGGCGCCCACAGAGGTGCTGTGTCAGTGAAGATGGGAAGGACGGAGATGAGGCTCCAGCAAGAGTTGGCTGCCACAGCCTCTGCCAAGCCTTGTCCTTGGGTCTTGCTGCAGAAGCCTGGCCTGTGGGAGATACCACACCACTGGGAGGGTGGAGTGGGCGCTGAGGGATAATCGTCATTCTCCAGGGCACCACAGGAATTGGGTCTTGGGCTGGGTGGCATCTGTCAGTTGTGGATAATGCTTGCTTTTTCAGCCAGTGTGACCATGGAATCCCAAGTGTCTTGCTTTGTGGCAGGATTTTTGTGTGACCTGTTTCTTGAAAAACGGAAACTCCTGGGCTGTAGGAAACCTTCTGACGCCTCAGGACTGTGTGTGTGAGCCATCAGGAGGGTCTCCAACTAGAAACACTTGTCCCTGCTTGCTTGTCTCTTGTCATTGCCCTGTCATTGCTCAGCATTCTTGTCAAGTTGCCCCGCTTGGAGTCGTCTGTCGTGCAAAAGCGTCCCATGGTTAGAGCCGGAAAGGCAGAAGTCTCCTGATGACACGTGATAGCTTAGGGGGAAAGGTCTTCTGTCCTGCGGCCTAGCTAAGCAATCTGGGGAGAGGGTGGAGATGATTTCTCTGTCTGTGGGTAAGCTGGTTCGTATAAGATGGAGACTCAGTTAAGATCCCATGGGAGGGCTGGGATGTAGCTCAGCAGCACAGCACCTGCCTGGCAAGCGTGAGACCCTGAGTTCAATTCCTGGTACCAAAAAAAAAGATCCCCTGGGAACCTCCTTAATGTTTAGTAGCTTCTAACTTGTGTTGTAAGCCCCATGCCAGAATTTGGAGGTCTCTTGAGTTCTGTTCATGGCTTTTATTCACTGTGACTCATAAGCTTCCTAATAAATCCTTGCCAGACTTCATGTTTGTGTTTTCTTTTGAACTCTTGGTATTATTGATAAAACTCATTTTACTGTAAACTGCATTAAACTTTGAAATTTTTTGTTTTGATTTAGGTAGATTATAAGAAGTGCCACAGTTAAATCATGACTAGAGCAGTTACTCCAGAAAAGTTCAAACTTAACTTCTGGCCTGGCGCGGGGGCATACATGCACCTGCAATCCCAACACCTGGGAAGATGAAGCAGGAGGATCGCTGTTGCTGCTCAAGGCCAGCCTGGGCTACATTGTGAATTCAAGGCCAGTCTAAGCTGCATAGCAAGACTCTGTCTTAAAAACAACAACAACAAAAGACTTGTGTAGAATATGGTAAAACCCCTATACCCACATTTTGTAGAGGACACAGGTTGATGAAGGAAAGTTACATGTAGAGGGACATGTACAAAAACGGGAGGGCAGATTCTGAGCACATCGGAAGACCTGCAGATGAGAAAAGCGAATGGGCAGCACACTGTCCAAAGGTAGACCAGGTGCAAGTGCAGTGTCTGAAAAGGGGACCTGAGATGGTCAGTATTCCAGCCCTTGTTAAAGTAGAAACAGTTGAGATGAGCATTACTGTTGAACTTGACCATCTTGAGAGAATTCCGGAGGGATGGGCCTGCTCTGTTGTCAGAAGAATCTAGCTGCTTTCTCTAGCCTGTCTTCAAGTCTACATCCCGCCCCGCGCAAGTTTGTTGGGCCTCAAAATTCTAAAATGCAGCCTGGCTGGGCATGGCGGTGCTGTAATCCCAGCACTGTGAGGCAGGAGGATTGCTGCATGTTCAAGGCCAGACTGGGCTACGTAGAACAGCTTCGTCTCAAAAACAAAAACAAACCCAGGCTGAAATCAACTAGAATGCAAGTGCAGTTTGTGATGTAGTAAGCATTACACCCTCTCCTCAGTTACAGCCAAGCTCAGCTTTTTGTGTGTGATACTGGGGTGTTTTTTTAATTGTATTGGGGATTGAACCGTGGGCCTTGCCCATGCTCAACAAGCACTGTGCCACTGAGCTACATTTCTAGCCCTTCAGCTGGATACTTTTAAGGATTAAAAGAAGGGCTACGTTTTAAGGACACGGGGAGAAACAAGGTTAGAAATCTCACAGCAGACTGGCCCTTCTTAAGTTCCAGTAACTAAAGCACCAATCACAGCTCTTGGGACTGGGGCTCTGGATTTCCTGAGCGTGCCATAGTGTCCAGGCACCTTGGTGTTGCCAGGGGAACATGGTTTCTTCCCTAAGCAGAAGGAGCAGGGATTTTGTGGGTGCAGCTGTGTTGTTTGCTTTTCCTTTAATCCTTTGGCTTTTGACATCCAGTCCTGGATCCTGGGCTTGCTTGGATCCCATGTGCCATTTTTCTGTTCGGAATCCTGGTATTTTACGCTCCGCCTCTGGGACCTGTTGAGTACTCTAGACCAAACTGCCTCTCGGCCTGGGGAAAAGTGGCTTTGTTGAGCTTCCACGTTTGTACTGTTTTCTTTTGGTTCAAAGAAAAAACTAGTCAGGTTAAGCTGGAAGAATGAGTTCTCAGCTGCTGAGGGACAAGTGTGACTCATTTCCTGTTTGCAGGTCCTCACATTTTCTCAGAGGGACATGGTCTTTCAACTCGGTTTGCTTCTTGGCCTTTCTGCGGACCCTGGACCCTGTTTCTACTTCACCAATGGAAGAGATGACTCAGTGGTGACCAAACGAAACACTTCTGTGCTTGGCTCATTTGAGGGTGGCATTTTGTGCACCCTGCGAGGCACTGCTTGCAAAGGGCAGTGCTGAGACCACACTGTCCAAGCCTGTCCAGCTGTCCTGAGCCTGCGTATTTTCCCAGGGCCCTTTTCAGAGTGATGAAGGCCTCACACTGTGATTTAACAGTGCGCAAAGCATGTCCACACCATTTTAACCTACTAGCAAAGCTTGAAGTAGGGCGGTTATTATCCCCACTTTATAGCATAGGAAGCAGGTCAAGAAAAGATTACAGTGTAACTTTGTGGTTTACCTCCTTTCCTTGAGCCTGGGTTTCCTCATGTTTAAAACCAGAGTGGAAAATGAGGTGATTTAAGGTCAGAGTAAATGACCCCATCCATGATTCTGGAATAAAGGATGAAAACCAGTAGCCAGTCGAAAGAAGTCGAAAAATCCAATGTACAATATGAGGGCCGGAGTTAAAAATAGTATATTCAGGAGTTGTGCTAAATAGTAGCTGACAGCTGCTGAGATGATATCGATATGTTAAGTGTGTTCTATAGTAATGACATTACTATATATCTGATGTATGAATATAAACAAAATGTTCAGTATTTTTTTTTAAAAAATCAAAGCATTGGCAGGTTCCCAAGGTCACAATGAGGTGTGCCTCAGGGATGGAAAGGCGACAAACTTCGTGCTAACAGTGTGAGGAACGCCTCTCCCTTCCCGGCAGCTTTCCTCCGGGAGGCGTCTGTGCGCTGGTAGAAGCGTCCTGCCCTGTCTGGACGGTGCAGGTGGTGGCGATGCCCTGAGCAGATGCTGCAGGTGGGCGCGAGCGCCAGGGAGGGGCCCCACCCTCCGCAACATGGCAGCTCCTAGCCGGGACGCTCGGCCCGCTTCCGGGTTCCGTACCGCGGGCCGGGCTACTTCCGGCAGCGCGATGGCTGGGTTCCCGGGACTCGAACGGAAGTTCCGGCGGGGGCGGCCGAGGGGGAAGAGTGTGTGTCTGTGGGAGAAAGAGAATTGCCCGAGCGGTCGCGGAAGCCCCAGGGAGCGAGGTACCCGGGCGGGCGGAGCGGGGCGGAGCGGGGCGTCGGGGCGACCGCGGGGTCCGGCCGCGGGGGGCGGCGCGGCCGGCGATGGGGGCGGGGAGGAGGTGCGAAGGCGCTGTCCAGTCCTGGGGACTTGGGGAGCGGAGCGAGGCCGGCCGAGGGGCCGCCCGGGCTGAAGAGGGGCTTCGCGATCGGGAGAGAGAGATGCCATCGTGGGGCGGGGGCTTCGCCAGGGTCAAAACGTGGGGAGGCCCCTCGTGGGCAGGTGCGCGTCCCGGCGGGGCGCGGCGGACGCCGCGGTGGGGCGCGCTGGCCCTGGGTCCGAGCAGAAGTTCCCCCGGGGGGCAGTGGGAGACCCTGCGCCTTACCGCGGGGAGGGGGACACCGGGTCGGGGGGCACCCCGCGGAGAGGGGCTCCTGGGTGGGAGGAAGCAGTCCCCAGAGCGGGGAGGGAGGGGAGCCCTGGCTCAGGCGGGCGGTGCGTTCCCCTTGGGGAGGGACGCGCCAGGGTCAGTGGCGAGGTCCCCTGCGGGCCTCCTGCTGGAAGGTGGGAGCCGGCCGGTGGGCCGGGCGCCCCGCGAAGGCTGGGCACTTAGGCAGGTAGCGGAAGCTTCCGGAGTTTGGAGGATGCTGAGGACGGGGAGGGGCCAGCCAGCCTCACATTCTTTTGTGTGTTTGGGAGTCCCAGAACCTGTTCAGCTGGGGGCCCATTTGGAGTCAGTGGCGACAGCAGCTGCAGGTAGCCTCGTTCCCGGGGGCGTGGAGCGCCAGTTGCGGGGTGGGTGGCAGATGGAAGTCCTTATGCTTACAGGGGACATAGGCAGCCCCCAGGGGCTCTGGGAATTTTGGAGCCAGAAACTGCTGTGAAGCCTGGATGGCAGGAAGGGAGGATGGAGATGGGGGTGCTGGAAGCTTATTTCCCTGGCATCTCCTTCCCCTTTGTTCCCCAGTAGGACCCGGAGTTGGGGCTGAGGGGACCAGGGGCTCCAGAGAAGGGATGATGGGAGGCTAGGGAGGATGCGGGTCCACGGAGGAGCATCGGTGGGAGCCTCTCTCGCCTCCGCCCCTAAGCCCTGCCCTGCCCTGCCCACCTCCAGCCAGGCCTGGGCCGGGGCCAGAACCAGACCCACGGGTGCTGGGCCACTGAGGTGGCCACCTCTGCTTCCCACCCTGGCCTGGAGGCAGACAGACTTCTACCCTTCCTCCCTGGGACTTGCTGCCTGCCTTTTCACGGTGCCCCAGAACCCGCTGCCAGCAGGGCTGGAGATGGCCCTGGTGGGCCCCTGGAGCCAGGAGGCTTCCCCTGCCGGCCTTGCTCTTGACCGCAGCCCCTCCTTTGTGCAGGCCCAGCCTGCAGGGAGCCCTGCAGTGTATGTGTGGTAACACCATGTCTGTGCCCCTGCTCACCGACGCTGCCACCGTGTCTGGAGCTGAGCGGGAAACGGCCGCGGTAAGGGACCCCTTTCGCCTTGGCAGCCCTTGGGTGTGGGCCCGGGTACAGCCAGGACTGCCGGGCACAGCTGGGGAGCTGGCTGCAGGGGGCATGGGAAACATGGAGGTGGCAGTGGTGAGAGCGGAGTCGCCTGAAGCCAGAGGCTTGGGGTTAATAACCTGTTGGCTGTCACCTCGGCTCACCCCAGGTCCTTGGGGCAGGGAAGGGCAGGCTGAACTGGGAAGCTCTAAAGGGAGAGCTTAGGCATCTCCTCTCTTCTGACCGTCTCCAGGTGATTTTTCTACATGGACTGGGAGACACAGGGTGAGTGAGCCGGGGCTTGTTCCCTGGGGACGCGGGGCAGGCCCAGCCAGCAGGGCCGCCTCCCCGGTCCCTTCCTGCATCCGAGCCCTGTCTCCCTTCCCTCCCACAGGCACAGCTGGGCTGACGCCCTCTCCACCATCCGGCTCCCTCACGTCAAGTACATCTGTCCCCATGCGTGAGTGTCGCCCCAGCGAGGGAGGGGCCGAGGGGTGTCCTGCTGGGGGATCGGCAGCGGTGGGGCTACTCCTGTGGTCCCAGACCTGTTCTGTCTGTCGGCTGCATCCCAGAGCTTGGGCTCCGAGTGGTCAGATGTGCCAAGTTCAGCCTCAGCTCCTAGGGAGCCCCCGAGAATGGAGTTCAGCACCAGCCCCTGGGCCCAGGGTCTCCCATGCCCCTTCCCCAAGTACTCACCCACCGAGCTGGAGCCTGGTCACCCCGAGCGCTGGGCTTTGCTTCTGCATCGACAGCCGATCTCCCAACCGCAGCCTGCTGCCCCACGTGGCAGGTTGCCTGGCAACACCTTAAACACAGGCCCTGCCTGTTGGGAGGGGCCCCCAGGGGCCTCTGTGCTATGGCTTCCTGCTCCCTCCTTATCCTGATGGGCCCTTCTGACTGTCCCTCCCCAGGCCTAGGATCCCTGTGACACTCAACATGAAGATGGTGATGCCCTCCTGGTGAGTGTGGGCTGGGGAGATGGGTGTGAGGGGGGTGCAGGGCGCTGGCCTGGCGCTTTCAGCAGCCGCCGCTGTCTCTGCTCCCCAGGTTTGACCTGATGGGACTGAGTCCAGACGCCCCAGAGGATGAGGCTGGCATCAAGAAAGCCGCAGAAAACAGTAAGGGCCCAGCCCCTCCTCTGCACCCCCTCCGTCCCCGGGAGAGCACTGGGCAGTGCCCGCCTGGCTCCCTTGGGGCCCCAGCAGCTTCCCCTACTCAGTCACACCCTTCCCTGCAGTCAGGGCCCTGATCGAGCATGAGATGAAGAATGGGATCCCTGCCAACCGAATCGTCCTGGGTGGCTTTTCACAGGTGAGGGGGCCGCAAGGGGGAGGGGCCGGGTGGGCGAGCTGTGCCCTGCTGACCTGTGGTCCTGTCCTCCCTCCAGGGCGGGGCCCTGTCCCTGTACACAGCCCTCACCTGCCCCCACCCTCTGGCCGGCATCGTGGCATTGAGCTGCTGGCTGCCTCTGCACCGGAACTTCCCCCAGGTGAGTGTCCCCCAGACCCCCTCCTGCCCTTGAGTGACCTTCAGACTTGGCATTGCTTTGCCCTCTGCGTCCTGTTGGCCCACAGGCAGCCAATGGCAGTGCCAAGGACCTGGCCATCCTTCAGTGCCATGGGGAGCTGGACCCCATGGTGCCAGTACGGTTTGGGGCCTTGACAGCTGAGAAGCTCCGGTCTGTGGTCACCCCTGCCAAGGTCCAGTTCAAGACATACCCAGGCGTCATGCACAGCTCCTGTCCGCAGGTCAGTGGGACACTTGCTGCTCCTTCCCCTCCCTCCTCCTCCCAGCCAGCAGCCTCACACTCTCCCCTCGCCCGCAGGAGATGGCAGCTGTGAAAGAGTTTCTCGAGAAGCTGCTGCCTCCAGTCTAACCAGAGTTGTGGCCCCCAGTACGGTTCCCCAGCTCACAGGGGACCCAGCAAGCAAGTGTGGCACCATCTTGGATCTGAGCCGGTCGAGCCCTCGTTCTCCCCTCTCCGCCCCATCCTATTCCCACAGGCCTCTGGGGCAGGCGGCCAAGGCCTGGCCAGGCCTTCCTTCCTGGCCCCGGGCACCTGGCAGTCTGCAGCAGGGTGGGCTGCTTCCTTACCCTGCTTCCCCAGAGGCGGGCCCGGCAGCAGTGTCGGAGGGGCTGTAGGCAGCGGGAGAAGGGCCCAGCCGCTGACCCACTCACTCAGGACCTCATTCACTAGCCCCGCTTTGGGCCCCCTCCTGCGACCTCAGGGTTTGGCCCTTGGGGCCCTCCCAGGCCCCACCCCAGTGGTTCTGCCCCGATAATCATGTGTGTCTCCTGCCTCACTGCAGCTGCTTCTCAATCATGAATGTGTCCATGGCCCGCGGCCCCTTGCTGCTGTGGGCTGCCCGCCCTCGGGCAGGATGTGGGTGAGGAGGTGGCGTCCTTCAAGGGCCTTCCCTCAGCGTCCCCCGCTTGGGGGCTGGGCCCTGCCGCGCCTTACCCTCCCTTGAAGGCCTGGAGCCTTTGAGGGTGGATTGAGGCTCAAGGTCTCCCCTGGCTCTGTCACCCCACTGTGTCCCCACTCTAGGGCCAGGGAGGCAGTGGGAGAGGAGTCGTGTCTCGTCTTCTGTCTCCATGTGGTTTTGAGCGTTTTTCTTGTTGTGTCCTGGATTCCGATAAAATTAAAAGAAATTGCTCCCTCAACTCTCGGGCCTGCCTGATGGTACTCGTGGGGCGCAGAATGACCATCTGTGAGAATCTGCCCCGGTAAAAGAAAACTTTATTTTAAATACTTTGGAAAGTTTCCTGGTAGCAGTGTCATTTGGTGCCTGGGAGGAAGGTGTGGTCCCGGGGCCCTGCTGCTCGCCCACGCTTGGTGGCCCTGCTGTCTTCCTGGGCCCGGCAGGAGACACGCGGGAGACACCTTGGCTCCTGGTCAGTGGAGCCCTCGGCCTCCTGCCTGGTGGGCTGAGCGGGCCCAGCTGGGCTTTGAGGTAGGGTGGCCTTGGCTTGGTCCCAGAGCTCCAGAGCCTGGGGTCCTGCCAGGGGCTGGAGAGCGGACAGTTGCTTCTCTTTTCCTTTCCGGTCTGTGGCAGGGGCGGGGCCTCAGGCCTGCGCGCTGAAGCCTGAAGGGTTCTGCTCCTGCCAGCGCCACAGGTCTTCACCTGTGACAGAGTTGGTGGGTGGTCAGGACCCGGCCTGAGGGCAGCCCCCTCCCCCCGGTCAGGGCCAGCACTCACACATCTTGTCCAGCCCCAGGGCTGCAGTCCAGCCCAGCTCCTTGTGGGCCAGGCTGGGGTTGGCATAACAGGCAGCCACGTCACCTTCCCGGCGTGCCACCACCTTGTATGGGATCTGCAAGATGCATGTGGCTAGAGCCTAGCTGCACTGGCCCTGGGCCTCGCCCCCGCTGCTGGCCAGATCCTCAGAGAGCACAAAGGTGGAGTGGTGTCACCTGCAGGCGCCCAGGGCCAGGTGCAAGGCAGGCTGAGGGGCTGGGTCAGCCGCAGGCAGGCGAGCGGGAAGGGCCTACCTTCCTCCCTGAGGCCTTCTCCATGGCTTGGACCATCTGCAGCACCGAGTAGCCTGTGCCAGTGCCCAGGTTGTAGATCTGCCCAGAGAGCAGGGTTAGCGGAAGGGGCTGGACCAGCCGCTCCCCTGGACCCCAACTGCCTAGCATCTGCCCCCCCCCACTTCTCTTTCCCCCATTCCTACCCGGCAGCCACACTGCTCCTCCAGCTTCCTCAAGGCCGCGATGTGGCCCTTGGCCAGATCCACAACGTGGATGTAATCCCTGACGCCTGCAGAGGAGGTGGTTGGGCGGGGAGTTGATGCTGCCTCAGTCTCTCTCCGGGGTCCCCACGCCTGGCCCTAGGCTCACCTGTGCCATCCTCTGTGTTATAGTCATTGCCAAAGACGTTCAGGGCCTCCCGTCGCCCGATTGCCACCTAGGGGCAGAGGTCAGGTCAGTTCCTCCAAGGCCCTGTATCAGCAGCACCCTGGGGCCACCCGTCCCTACCTGGGAGACGTAGGGCATGAGGTTGTTGGGGACGCCCTGAGGGTCCTCGCCGATGCAGCCCGAGCCGTGGGCGCCCGTGGGGTTGAAGTACCGCAGCAGCACCGCGTTCCAGGCCTGTGGGGCTCAGGTCAGGTCACGGGGCGGGGCAGGGGTCCCGGCTGAGTCCAGGGCCTTCTACCTCCCCGCCGTGCTGTCCCGTGTTTCTCCAGAAACGAGGTCCCAGTCAGTGCTGCGACCCTGGGCAAGTCACTGTCACTTCTGAGCCCCAGCTTCCTCATCAGAGTAGGGAGGAGAGGGGTGCTTGGGATCCCCTCAGCCTCAAGGGGGCCTCACCTTGTCTGCGCGGCACAGGTCCTGGATCATCTCCTCGATGAAGAACTTGGACTTGCCGTAGGGGTTGGTACAGCCCCCTGTGGGGTGCGCCTCGTCCAGAGGCAGGTATTGGGGGTCCCCGTACACGGTGGCTGAGCTGCTGAACACCAGGTTCTTCACCCCGTGGGCCCGCATGATCTGGCCAGGAGGGGAGGCATCAGTGGCTTGCGCTTTGCGCCCGCCCTGCCCCTCCTGTGCAGTGGGAGGGGGCTGAGGTCACCGGCATCTCGTTTACAGACGCAGAACTCAGGCTGGGAGCTGAAAACAGCCACGTGTCCTGGTGACACTGCATGGCCTCGTCCAACACCCACGCGAGCACTTTCCCGCTGGGGCTGGGCTGTGTCCCCGCGCCAGCCTCTCACCTCCAGAAGCTGGATGGTCCCTGTCAGGTTAACTCTGTAATAATCCAGAGGCTTCTGCACCGACTCGCCCACGGCCTTGAGCCCCGCGAAGTGGATGACAGCCTTAAAGTTGTGCTGCAGGGGCACAGTGGGGGTCAGCGGTGGCTTCACCAGCCTCGCCCTTGGCAAAGGCCCTACCTGCGGGCACCTACCTGCTTAAAGAGATGCTGTAGGGCCACCTGGTCCAAAATGTCCATCTCCTCAAACTCCACGGAGCGGCCTGTGAGCTCCTGCACCCGCCGCAGGCTCTCGGGCATAGAGCCCCTGCCTGGTGGGGCACCGAGATCAGCAAACGGGGTCCTGGAAGCCAGGGTTTCCCTCCACCCCTCCAGAAAGCCCAGCTCCGCCACCCACGCTCACCGCGGATGGCGTTGTGGAAGTTGTCGATGACCACAGGTGAGTAGCCCGCCTCCAGCAGCTCCAGCACGGTGTGGCTGCCGATGTAGCCAGCCCCGCCGGTGACCAGCACCTTCTCTGCCATCGCACCTGGCCTGGCACAGAGTGCAGAGGTGGCTGTGGGGCCGCCCAGGCCTCTCCCCATCCCGAGCCTGCCCCTCCTCCAGCTCACCTTGGAGGTGGGGAGCAGTGAGTCGGTGAAGAGCAGCTGCAGTCCGCTCTGGTTCAAGCCTGGGTACTGGCACTCTCTGGCGTTAGGCTTCCAGGATCACCTGCTCTCCAGGCTGCAGTTCCAGAGCTAAGAATTGTATACACACCATTTACATGGCAGGGAGGGCGACCAGGTGATTCTAAAGGCCTGCCGCAGAAGGGGGATGAGGCACCGTATTTTCTAATCCCCACAGGTGACTCAGCCTCGAGGAGACTGCTAAGGACCCACGCGTCCCTCCCCAGTGTCTGGGGACTGGACAGTCCTGGGCAAAGGGGACAGGGCAGCAGGACTGGGAACAGGACTCAGGTTCAGACTCCACCCTCCCTGGTAGCTTCAGCACCACTACCTGTCAACAGGCTCCTGGGCACCGGGACCAGGCAGCCCCTTCCCTCAAGGGTCAGCTGGGAGGAACCAGGAAGAAAGGGTGGGTCCCCGCTGGCCTGGCCTGCTGCGCCCAGCTCCAGGGCTGCAGCCCCACTTCCTGGAGGGCACCCCACCCCACCGCAGGGAAGCAGGCTGGCTCTGGCTAGGTCCCCATGCCAGGTTACTTTGGGCTAGGTGATGGGGATCCCGCCCAACTTCAGGCGGCAGCGGGTGGGCCAGTGTGGACGTGGACTTGGCCCCGTCTCCACTGCCAGGTGCGCATCTCCGCCCTGAACAAACTCTGGGTGGAGCGGGCAGAGCGGAGAGGAATCCCCAGACACTGACGCCTTTCATTCCGCGACCTGGCCGGCTGCCGTCTTCCTCCAGGCTGCCCGAAACCCTTCCGGGCTCATCCAGCTCCAGCCCACTTGACTAAGCGCCCGCTGCGTGCCAGGCTCTGTGCGCGGCACTTATGCGTTATTTTCCCGAGTTCGCCCCACAACTGGGCGAGGCAGGTGTTATTAGCGGCACTTTACCGGAGCAGAACTAGGGTCAGAGAGGTTAACTAATTTGCCTGTGGCCGCACAGCCAGTGAGGGCCGGGCTGGAATGCGGATCTCCAGGCTGGCAGCACAGCCCCTCCCCGAGGCTTCCCCTGGACTCTGCCCGACGCCCAAGCCGCCGCCACTCCCTCCCCGCCGCGCGGCGCGCGCTCTGCGGACCTGGGCAAGTGGACGCCGAGGGCTCCCGCGAGGCAGGCAGGGTGGCCGGAGAGCGACTTCGCCCCGTACCCAGGGGATGACCCTGGTGAGCTGTCGCCTCCTCAGTCTCCCCAGTCTGCATAAAGAGGGGACGGGGCGCTGGCCGTGAGTGCAGGACTTTGGGCCCCGGCTCGGAAGGGGCAGAGCTAGGAGTCCTGGGCCCGGAATGAATGAACCCGGGCCGCCCGGCCGCGGGAAGCGGGAGCAGAAGGGGCGGGCTCGCCCTGGCGCAGCTCTGCTTCGAACGCGGCCCGGACCCTCCTGCAACTCCCTCACTCCCTGCCGACCACCCGCCCCTCCCGAGCCCACCCGGCCCTCTTCCCGCCTCGCGAACCTGCTGGGAATCGCCCGCCTCGCGCTGGCTCCAGCGGCACCGCCTCCCGAGCCCCACCAGCGCGGTCCCTTTAAGAGCTGACAGCCACCCAGATCCCTCCCCCTGCACGCCCCCTGGAGACGTGTCACTTGGGTTGTGGTCAGTACGGAGACTCCGGGAGGACAAAAGCTCCGTGCAGCTTTAAGGCGACCGCAAACGCATTCCCAGGGAGGGCGGAAGTGGGCGGCACCTTGCCGGAACGGACGGGTAACCGGGAAAGGCCCCTGCCCGCGTTCCTGAGACCCCGGCCCCGCTGCGAGCCGGGGGTCTTCCAGCCACCGGGGTCTGCCGGGCCCTTCCACGTCTCGCGGGAAGTGTCGGACTCCACGGCACGGAGTCAACAGGGGGCCGCCCCGCCGCGGTTCTGGAAGTCTAGTTTGGAAGCAGAACAAGGAACCCTTCAAGCCGCCCCGAGCTCTGAGCCCGCCCAGACTGCGGCGCCGCCCGCGGGAACGGTGCGTCTGCACCCCGCCTGCTGACAGCCGCTCAGCAGTGCATGGTTTTGTTTCTTACAAGGCAGGTAAATAAATCGCAAGGGAGTGATGTCCATGACGTCGCCGCATACTGAAAACACGTGCAGAGAAGCAGTAAGTGCACAAGCGCACGGGTGTCCCACCTCCCCGATGCCCGGGCCAAGAGGGTCAGGGGCGCCGCTGCCCTCCGGAGCTTGCGCAACGGCCAGGGCGCGGAGGCACAGCCGGTGCTCTGGCGGCCAGTGCCTCTGATCTGCAGGCCTTGCAGTGAGGCTCAGCGGGGGAAACAGGGAAGAAATCCATAGATCATAAACAAGTTCAAAGTCTACACTTTCCCCTCAGTGCAACGTGGGAGAGATTTCTCATAAATGCACACATTTGCACAGCGAGATACTGGAAAATTAAATCTTTAATTACAGCAGCTGTTTTCAAAAATCACGTTCAGAGTAGAGATTTTTCACTGATGCTGGAGTTGGCGGACGGCCACCGCGGGAGCCTAGCCCTCACCATGAGATGCCCACTGCCAGTTTAGAGCAACCTGCTCCCCGCCCTTTGCCCTAAGACGACAGAGATGGCCCCACAGCACTAGCAGGGTGGGGCTGACAGAGGTCACCCAGAATGCGACACCACGATCACAATGGTCCAAGCAGGGTGGCAAGTGCCTCAGGCACTCAACTCTGCGTCACCGGGTCCCCCACGGCTGCACACTCCCATGCAGGGCTCACAGGGAGGGCCGTCGCCCTCTCTTCTTTCTGCCGGGACAGCCTGGCAGAGTGGGCTGAGGCGTGCCTGCAACTTCATCTTGTCTCCACTCCCCCATCCAGGAATCATCCGTGTGCGGCCCACTCCCCGCGCAATCTGTAGGCTACAGGCAGGCAGGGGGCTCAGAGTTTACAGCTAGCTTGAGCCACTTTGGAGCTGGTTTTTCTGTTCAGGACTTGACAGATAAAGTCGCCAGCTTCCAGGAGCTTCTGGAGATTCACACCCTTGGAGAAACAAATTAGAGGGTGCAGTGAGTCGGACCGCCCCACCCCCAGGGAGATGCACGACCTGAAGGAGGAAAGGCCACAACAAGCAGGCCCTTGTTTGTTCCCCGCCACGGGACACCTGCTAGCTGTGAGGTCGCGTCTGTCTGCCATCCGGCATTATCCCTCTGACTCTCCCTCATAAGTTCTGATGCCACCACCAGGAGTGGCATCGCAGGAACGGGGGCCTTTGTACCAGGGCCACAAAGACTTGGCCTTGTCAAAAGCTGCATATTGAAGTAAGGACTGTGAGGCAGAAGGGTAGGAATAAAAAAAACAACTTGAAGGCTGGGAGGACAAGCTTTGCTCGTAATAGCTCACATCTGCCAACCTGTACAATGTGCCAGGCTCTATCCTCAGCATCTGACAGAGTTTCTGTTTTTGTTGTTTGTTTTTGGTACTGGAGATGGAACGCAGGGTTTTGCACATGCTAAACATGTTCTCTGCCCCTGAGCTACACCCACAGCCACATATTTTCTTTCTTTCTTTCTTTCTTTTTTTTGAGACAGTCTCACTATGTAGCCCAGGCTGGCCTTGAACTCCAGGCAATCCTCCTGGCTCAGCCTCCTGAATTATAGGAGGATTATAGGTGTGCACCACCACTCCTGGCTCAGTATTTTCTTACTTAATCCTCACAACAGCCTATGAGATTGGTACTATTATTATTATTTCAATTTCTTGACACATCCAGGTGTGGTACACACCTGTAATCCCAGCATTCGAGAGGCTGAGGCAGGAGGATCACCTCGAGTTTGGGCCTGCCTGGGCTATACAGTGAGTTCAAGACCAGTCTGAACTGCATAATGAGTCTGTCTCAAAAAAAAACAAATCAAAACAAAACAAATAATTTGATGTCACCCAGCCTGTGAGGGACAGGGCTGGGTTCTAAACTCCATTTCATTGGATCTCAGAGCACTGATACTACATGGCTCCTATGCCACCACTAAGGATCTTTACAGACTGGCTGAGCCTTGGTGGCAGGGTGGTGTCTAATTCTACTACATTCATCTTCAGAGAACAAACCAAGCAAAGCGATCTGGCCTCTTTCATAATCCTGGGCCTCACAGAGCTGCACCTTGGACATCATTCTACGCTCCCAGCCTTCTTGTGCCTGTTCGTGACCTTGTTCAGTCACATTCTGCTCGCTCAGGAACACAAGATTAAAAAAAAGTCCTTTATCCCCTGCCACGTCCACCCTTAACCCCCATCACCCAACAACCCCCAACAGCAGATCAGCTGCTGTCCCGGGCAGCGCGACAGCCTCGGTCAGTTCAGGCTGCCACCACCAGGGGGCAGCAGGCTTACCGTGTGAATCCCCAAACCCGTCAGCATGTAGACCAGGTCTTCCGTGGCCAGGTTCCCCGACGCCCCCTGTGCATAGGGACAGCCTCCAAGTCCTGCCACAGAGGCGTCCACGACACTCACTCCCATCTGGAAACGCAAGGACGGGGAAACAGTGCTGCCGCCGGGTCCGGAGCCCGCGGGGCCGCCCGCGCAGACCTCCCTCCCCAGCGCCTGGGCGCGAAGGCAAGGAGCTTTCCCTCGGCGCGGCGGTCTGTGCGGCGAAGACCCGGCCTCCCTGGGTTCCCGCACAGGGTCTCGTCTCCTTCCCGTCTCCTCCGCCGGGGGCACCTCCCCCCATTCCTTTCCTGGTGACCCCACCCCCAGCCTGAGGACCCCAGCCTAAATTAGGCCACCTCCTCCGAGGGGCCCCTCCAGATCGGCGGCCCCATCTTCTGTGCTGCGGATTCGCGCGCCCCGGGGCGGGCCTCACTACCGCAGGGGACCGTGCGGCAGCCCCAGGCTGGCCACTGCCCACTCTCCTGAAGGCCGTGTCACCGTCTCTCCTCCCGCCTCCACCACCCCTGCCCCATCCGCACTCTCAGCGGTTTCCTTGGCCACAGGGAAATACGCCATCGGAAGAGACGTCACCAGTTGACTCCACTGTCCATCAGCCCACTGCGCGTATGGGTGCCGCAGAGCCCCGGCCCTCCCACTGCCTGAGGTCACGCAGCTTCGGGCCGCTGCCATCTCCACAGCGCCCCAGGCCCGCCCCGCTGCCCTGCTAACCGACCTCTTGGCTCCAGGGCTCCTCCGCCTTCTGCGGGCTGATTCCTACACGAGCAGGCTGGGACTGCGCCAGCTTTCACAGCCCCTTTAGGGGACCCCTCCAATCTCCCACGGCTTTGGCCCATTCAAAGCGAACCGCCTCAAAGGGGCAGTCCCTACTCTCTGCCATTCTAACCTGAGCCCACTCTGAATGACATTTTCTCTCCGCGACTCTCCCACTGCAGCAGCCCACGCCAAGCTCACCGGAGACCTCCACGGAGCTACGCACATCCAGAGGTCAGGCTGCCGCCTGCATGCGACTCCAGGAGCATCAACCTGAGCGGGTTCTCCCTGGCTTCCCTCCAACACATCTGGCTTCCGGAGGCCTTGGTCCAATCTTTTTGTTGTTGTTACTCAGTTTTGGGTTTTGAGACAAGGTCTTGCTCTGTAATTCTGGCTGATCTTGAACTCACTAGGTAGCACAGGCTGGCCTTGAACTCACGGGGGTCCTCCAGCCTCAGCAGTGTTGGGATTACAGGAGTACGCCACCACACCCAGTTCCCAGCTTTAAAAAGCAAGGAAGAAAGGGGAAGGAAGGAAGACTGGACCTAAAGCCAGCTGTGGTAGTAATCCCTGCACTCAGGAGGCTGAGGCAGGAGGATCGCCTCAAGTTTGCAGCTAGACTGAGCTACATAGTGAGTTCAAGGACAGGCTGAACTACATAGCAAGACCCTGTCTCAAAATGAGAACAAAACACCAACAATAAAAAAATAAAAGCTGGAGTCCTCACTACTCGGTCCTCAGACAAATTCCTGACCTACACTCACTCCCAGGTGACCTCGTGGTCTTTAATACCCACCTCTGTGCTGAGACTTCACCATGTCCACACCAGCCCAGAGACCCACACAGCTGCCAGCCTTCTCCTGGAAGCCCCCCAGGAGGCCTGAGAGAGGCGGCTGTCACCCACCCCAGGCCCCCATCTCCCGGCCTCCTCCAACCACCTTTCACCTGGATCCCTGCGGCCTCCAAACTGGTTCCTTCTGCTTCTCTGACTCCAGTCTGATCTCCACAGGTGGCCGGAGAGACCCTTTCAGGTCATGGCCTCACTGTCATCTGCCCGACACTCTCCCTTAGCTGCTCGGCCATGTGGGAGAGTGCCAGAGGTCCCACCAGGCCCCCAGCCCCCAGCCCTTCTCCACCTCTGCCGACCTCTCCCACTGCCCTGCCGGTCACACTGCTGCGCTGCATCCCTAGGACACAGCAAGCACCTCCGCTCGGGTGCGCTGTTCCTGGGCCTGGTCACTCCCCGCCCTCTGCTGCCGCGTGTCCGCACGGCTCCCACCCCAAGTTCCTCGGGTCCTGCCCGTGTCACCTTATGGAGTGTCCCAACACTCAGCGTGACTGGGTCACCACATCTTTAGCCACTACTGCTGGCCTGGCCCCGGCACACTGACATCAGTGAATGTTTCGTGCATGACACGTGGAACAGAGCCCTTCAGGAGGCAGGGCGTGTGCTTTAGTTACCTGCAGGGCCATCAAGGTGTTGGCCAGGGCTTGGCCATAGGTGTCATGGCAGTGGACAGCCAGGGCGGCCACGGGCACCTCACGCGTGACGGCCGACAGCATGTCTTTCATGAGCCCCGGGGTGCCCACACCGATGGTGTCCCCCAGGGAGATCTCGTAGCAGCCCATCGAGTACAGCTTCTTAGCGACCTGGGAAGCAAAGAGGCACGTGGAGACGCCCAGCTTCCACGGACCCGGGTCAGAGGGCTCAGGGGGATCCGCTGCCCAGCTGGTCACCTCCACACCGGACGCACTGGGCGCCTGCTGGGCCCCAGGCTCCCGCAACTGTAGTGCGATGAAGAGCCCCCAGCCCCTGAGGAGCAGAGCTGGCCACGGCAGCAGGATCCTGCCCCCAGCCCCCGCACTTTGCAACTACTTCAACCTCTGAGCCACACTCCCAGCCCCGGCCATCTTTCATTTATAATCTGTTCTTTTATTTTTGTCACTACTGGAGTTGAACCCAGGACCTTTACACTGAGCTACTTCCTCAACCTTTTTTATCTTGACAGAGAATCTCGTTAAGTCATTAAACTGCCCAGGTTGGCCTCAATCTTGCGGTGTTCCTCCTGTCTCAGCCTCCAGGGTGCTGGGATTACAAATGTGCACCACATCCACCCAGCCCTGTGACCATTTCTTTTTTCTTTTTTGTCTTTTTGAAACAGGGTCTCACTATGCAGTTCAGGCTGGCCTTGAGCTCACTTGGTAACCCAGCCTGCTCTTGAACTTGCAACGATCCTCCTGCCTCAGCCTCCCGAGTGCTGGGATTACAGGCGTACGCCACCACGCCCGACTCTGGCTACTTCTTTTATCTAGATATCACATGGTATCGGGCAACAAGTCGGCTCTGTGGGGAGACAAGTGGGGTCTGAGGCCTGGCTTTATCATTTGCAACCCGGGTAGCAGTTGTTTAGTCTGTTTCCTCAACCATAAAATGGAAGAATAAAAGATCTTTGGAAGTTTTGACCCTTCAGAGAAAGACTTGTCCTCTCTACTGGGAACCCTGGGGCTGCTGGGTGAGGCCCTTGTGCAGACATCACCTGCGCACCGGGCACAGGAGCACCCCGCCCGGCCACACACGCACCTCAGCCACCTTAGCCGGGGAGATCTTCCCTTCGTAGGGACACCCGAGCACGCAGGAGACGTACCTGTGGGAGTGCGGGAGGAGCCTCATCAGCACCCCAGGCGCTTCAGGCCGCAGGGCTGTGGCTGGGGAGGGAGTAGTGGCGAGACCTGCAGGGGCCTGGGAGCAGCCAGGGGTTCCCCACGGCAGGGGGCGGGTGGTCAGAGAGGGCAGCATGAGTGGGCACGTGTGGGACAAAAACGCACAGCGGCCGGAGAGGCTGGGCTGGTGCTCAGGAGGCAGTCACTGTCCCGAGTGTCTGCTCCACTCCCTACAGTGACAGAGAGCAGGGCACGCCAGGGGCAGGGACAGGGGCTCGCGCTTGCGCACAGCACAGTTCGGGGTGGGGAGGATTTAACCAGCAGCTAAATGTTACTTTCGAAGACACAGGGGACCGTGGGACTGTGCCCCAGAAGAAGGGCACCAACTTGCGCTGAGGGACAGGGAACGCTTCTCAGAGGAACCGACATCCACAGAGGAGGAGAACAGGCAGGATGTAGGCTGAGCATGTCCTGAATCTATAAAAAGCAAGCGAAAAATGCCAGGCGTGGTGGTGCAGGCCTGTAATCCCAGCACTCGGGAGGCTGAGGCAGGAGGATCGTTGCAGGTTTGAGGCCAACCTGGGCTACATAAATGAGTTCAAGGCCAGCTTGAACCACATAGCGAGACCCTGTCTCAAAAAGACAAAACAAAACAGAACAAAACAAAAAAAGCAAGCGCAAAGGCCCAAGACAAGAGACAGCAGGCATGTGAGGCACGTGGTGAAGGGAAAAAAACTCCAGTTGAGCTTGAGTGTGATGTGCAGACGTGAAGGTCAGAGGGAGCTATAAACATCAAAGCTGCAGTGAGTGGTAGGGCCTAAGTCATGCAAGGTCCTGTAAACCACATTAAAATGACTGAATGCAGCTGAGGATGGAGCTCAGGGGCAGAGCGCACGCTTATCACGCACAAAGCACCGGGTTTGAGCCCCAGCACGGGAAAAGGAAATAAGTCGGAGCTGGGCATGGTGGCACATGCCTTTAATCCCAGCATTCTGGAAGGCTGAGGCAGGAGGATCGCCGGTTTGAGCCCAGCCTGGCCAATTTAACAAGGCCCTATCTCAAAGTAATAAATGAACCAGGTGGGGTGTCACATGCCTGTAATCCCAGCCCTCAGGAGGCTGAAGCAGGAGGATTGCTGAATTCAAGGGTAGCTTCTGAGACCCTATTTCAGAAAACCACAACAATAATAAAGGGCCTGGGGATATAGTTCGGTGAGGGTTCATTTCTTACTACTGCAAAGAAAAAAAAGTCTGAACTTGGCCAGCCACAGAAGTGTTTTCAATCAGGAGTGATCGGATGTGCACTTGTGACGCGGATGCTGTGTGCCCTGACGGAGACCGGTCACCCTCCCCATCCTCACCCGGCTGGAAGGTGGAGCCCGCCGCTCTGTGCTGGGCTCAGTGGAGGTTTCAACCGGACATTTCATGTACACTACCCAGAGGATCTGCTGCTGGGGACTCATCCTCAGGAGCTCCCCAGGGACATGCGACAAGCTGGGGGAGAAGCTGGGACGGAACTCACCTCTACCTCATGTCTTGTCCTGCCGGATGCCCCCAGGGCCCTGGCCAGATTAAGGGGTGAGACAAAGCACTTGCTAGGAGGTGTTCTGACCACGTTTACCTGCCCCCAGCCAGGGCAAGGAGCTTGTGGTGGGGAGGGCAGCTGGGGTCAGAGCTGAGCCCGCTCCAGGCGGGCACCGAAGGACGCCAGCATGGCCTGACTCACCCCCGCACGGGAACCCCGGCAGCCCGCGCGGCCTCCAGGACCCCGCCCATGTGCTGGAAGCTCTCCTCTATGGAGCAGTTGATGTTCTTCTTGGAGAACAGCTCTGAGGCCGCTCCGAAGACGCTCACCTCCTTGGCGCCAGCAGCCACCTGTCAACGCCCAGAGCAGTTCCTTCAGCCCTCTCGGGGTCACTGACATTGTGGCAGAGTCGTCTTATGCTCAATGTTACGGTACAGGGACGTCCCTGGCTGGGTTGTGTCCCCTTGGCAAGACAGGCCAAGTCCTCAGCGCCAGGCCCTTATCTAGGAACGGGGTCTTCGAGGAGGAGGCCGATTAGCTAAGAGGCGGCTGCACTGGAGGAGGGCGGGCTCCTTATCCAGTACGACCGCTGACTGGAAGATGGCTGTGTGCCGGCAGAGACAAAGAGAAGGCCACGTGAAGGCGGGGGGCTCCCCAGCTGCGGCGCTGATAACCCTCAGAGGCCAGGGCTGGCGGCCGGGACCAGCGCCTGGGAGAGGCAGGAACGGCTGCTCTGTGGGCCCTGAGAAGGAACCAATCCTACGACACCCTGATTCTGGGCTTCTGGCCTCCAGAATGGGAGGGTATTCCCATTCTTCTTGTTTTGAGTCACCCCGCATGTGGTGCTTTCTCACAGCAGATCTGGGAAGGACACAGTGAACTGTAGTGCAGAACAAGCCAAGGCCGGGGCTGCAGCTCAGTGGTAGAGCGCTTGCCCAGCAAGGTGAAACCCAGGGTTCCATCCCCGGAACCCCAAGGGAGGGAAGGACTGCCAAAAACACAGCTGTGACATCTCCTAACGAAATCCCCAACGGCCCCGCCACCACCACTCTGAAAGCCACTCTTGAAAGAAGCTTTTCGCCTAAGTAGAGAACCAACACCTGCCAGGGATGCTGTCTGCTGTCTAAACGTAGCAGGCAGACGCCAACAACTGCTGCTGAAACGCTCATGAGAACCTGGGTACTTTTCTCTGAGGCACTGTGTAATAATACCAGCCAGCATTGACTCGATACTTACATCAGGCTCTTGCTACGGAACTGCGTGGAATCTATTTTCCGAAATCCTCTGCACATCAGGTACTATCATTAGTCCCAGTTTATTGGCAGAACCGGGGCTCAGAGAGCTTAAGCAACCTGTCAAGCTCACGAAGCAGTGAGGGGCAGGGCCACGACCGCCCCAGGGTCTGATGGTGCTGGTCACCACCGGAGACAAGACGTTCAGATGGACATCCCAGGGCAGGGGACCACGGGGACTAACGCCATCCATCTCATCCCAGGAGGCCCCGCCAACACACTCCTCTTACCGCTGCCTCGAAGCCTTTCAGATTTGGGGTCAGGACTGGGTAGTTGATGCCAGGAAACTTCTGAATCCCCTTTAAGACTTCGGTGTGGTCAGCCATCTAGGAGCCAAAGGACACATGGCCAAAGCAGGCAGCGTGCTCAAAGTTAGAGGAAAGCCTCTGCACCACGAAGTCTCTGCTCTCCAGGGCTGGGGAGAGCAAGTCTTCTGCAGGGCTGAGTTTATAGTCTATGACTGCTGTGCTGCCTGGAGGCCCTTGGGTTGAGTGACATCTCTGATTTCGCCTTGCGGCCAGTACTAGCAGTTTCAGGTAGGTAGCACCTGGGACACCACCATCTGCCATTCGCCGAGAACTGCTCCCAGCCAGGCACTGTTCCATTTTCTTTATTATCTAAAGCTCGTTTTCTTCTCCAATCGCCCAGGTCTGTGCAGCAGGAAGTCTTTTACTGCACAGGCGTGGAGATTCGAGACTCTTAGAACCAGAAGAGCCCTGCCAGGCCATCTGCAAAACGAAGAGACCTCAGCAAGGTCATCAGCAAGCTGGGCTTGCTGAGACTGAACCCAAGCCGCCCGGCTAAGTCACGTCCTCCCGGAGCAACACAGCATTGGGCATCACCTGAGACCTCTCAAAGCCAAAGCCAGGGGAAGCTATGCTCCTGACTTCCGCTGGCTCCAAAAGCAGCCCCAAGACTCCCCTCTCCTCCTCACCTGGGCAAGGCCTCTCCCTGAGGCTGGGGCTCACCTGGGGAACCCACTTGGGAGACACAAAGCTGGTGGCTTCTATAACAGGAAGTCCTGCTTCCGAAAGCATGTCTATCAGCTTGATCTTCACTGGAGTAGGTACGACATTCTACACAGGACAGACACCAGAAAATCAGATCGGCGGGCAGCGCTGCTGGCTCCCAGCTTTTGCTGCAGCTGGCACCCCACCGTCTTGACTTTCAAACGCTAACATAAATTCACATGTGACCCCTGCCAATTGGGTGGGGAACAGGCTTGTCTTCAAGGTCTACAAATAGTGTGCCTCGGTGGAGACAGCTTCCCGTCTGAAAAGGAGTTCATATTTACATGGAAATAGTATTTTTCTGCCATCCAGACTTTTCCTTAACTAAATGTGTGCGAGGTTATAGCCCCATCATAAATTGTGCACAGTCTGGAAGGGCATCGATGGCTCACGCCCTCTGGGTGCTACAGGATGGAGCAGCCAGAGCACCACACCCTCCCTTTTCTGGCTCCCAACTGCACAGGACTTTGCCCACAAGTACTCAGCCTAAAGCTTGCTTCTCTCCCTCCCCCACCGCACCTAGTCAGCCACCAAATTCTATGACTCCTCCTTCCAAACCTACAACCATTACCTCATGGGTGTATGGCATGGTCTGTCTCTACCAAATCATCCTACACATCTTCTAAAACCACAGCCTCCACGGTCTCATTTTCCTGTTTAAAAACCTTCTGGACCAGGTGTGGTGCCTGTAATGCCAGCACTCAAGAGACTGAGACAGCTGGGCATGGTGGTTCACACCTGTAATCCCAGCACTCAGGAGGCTGAGGCAGGAGGATCAGTGTGAGTTCGAGACCAGCTTCAGCTACAAAGTGAGTCCAAGACTAACCTGAAGTGCATAGTGAAACCCTACCTCAAAAAAAAAAAAAGAAAACCAAAACAAAACAAAGAGACTGAGACAGGAGGATCACCGTGAACTACATAGCAAGACCCCCACCCCCACCAAAAAAAAAACAAAAACAAGAAATGTAAAAGCCTTCTGTAGCTCCTCAGTACCAAGGATTAGGTCAAAATCCTAATAACTCCAGGTTCTTCCCACCAGGCCCTCCCACCTGCCCCCTCCAATTTCTCCCTTGCTGATTTAACTTAATCCACTCAAAAATAATGGTTTTTGGTTTTATTTTGAGATGGGGCCTTGTCATGCTGCCCATGCTGGTTTTAAACTCACAGGCTCAAATTATTCTCTCAAGTATCTCACAAATAATGTTTCCTAGTTTTTTGGTCTTTTTGGGTACCACGAATCAAACTTAGGACCTTGTGCTTGCCAGGCAGGTACTGTGCCATTGAGTTATATCTTCAGCCTCTGTTTAACACTTTGGTTTTCTTTCTTTCTTTCTTTCTTTCTTTTTTTTTTTTTTTTGGTGGTACTGGGGATTGAACCTAGGGCCTTTGCACTGAGCTGTACCCTCAGGCCCTCCTTTTAGAAAATGTTTGAGACAGGGTCTCACAAATCACTAAGTTGTCTTAGGTTGGGCTTGAACTTGTAAACCCCCTGCCTCAGCCCTCCAGGATACTGGAAAAATAGGAATGTGCCACCATTCCCAGCTATGAATAACTTCTGAAAGCTCCCATGTTTAGGCATGACGGTAGGTGCTAGGGGTCCAGCAGTAATCATAACAAACTTGATTCTGCCCTCACGGAGCCTTCAGACTACTGTTTCCAAAAAGCATTCACTGTTAAAGCCAGGGTGGCCATGCTTTTTTAAAAAAAAAGAAGAAAAAAGTTTTAAATTAATCAATAAATTAATTTTGGGGGAGCAGATCTTGCTATGTAGCTCAGGCTGTCCTTGAACTCGACAGTCCTTCTGCCTCAGTCTCCCAAGTGCTGGGATTATAGGCATGTGCCACCACACCCAGCTCAAAAAAGTTTTTCTCATTAAAAAACACATGATTATTTCAGAAAAATATGCCAAAAGAAAACTACGCTTAGAATTTCCCAGAAATGACACTGTTAACATCTTAGTAACTATTTACATACAGTTTATGAGTTGCTAGCCAGGTGTGGTTATTTAAATTTAAGTTGATTAAAATTATACAAAGAAACAAAGTTTCACAGAAAGTTTCATAGGACTGCACTGTTTTACACTGATTTCCAGGTTAAATGCTTCCACACATACAAACTTTTGTGTTTCTTAAAGTGTAAAACTGAATATACGTGTTATTCTAGACATCTGTTTTTTTTGGTTGGCTGATTTCTGTCTTTACCTTTTCATTCTGTAGACCATCGCGGGGACCAACTTCCACAATTTTGACTCGCGCTGGGAACGTGCCCATAGATGAAGTGCTGACCTTGGTTCAAAAGGGGAAACAAGAGAAAGGGATTGTCAAGATTTACTGGTCCGATAGGATGCGTCCTTAGTAGTACTGAGACAGGAAGCAGTAGTTCTTACTGTTTCATTCTCATGTGGCCTCTCCTAGATCAAAAAGCACACTGCATTCAGAACGGCAACGAGCAAGATGCACTCCCTGGACAGGCTCTTCCCCGAAATCCAGACCCACTTCCGGCTGCCATCTGACACTCTCTGCACCTCTCCAACCCAACAGTCCCCGAAAAGAACTCTCCTTTCTCCTAAAGCCTGACTTCATCCTTTCTATCTCATAAAAGGTGTCCGGCTGGAGATTCAGCTCAGTGGCGCAGCACCTGCCTGGCAAGCGTGAGGTCCGGAGCTCGATTCCCGGTACCCAAAGAAAATGTCCCATGCGTGTGCGGCCTTCTCCCCAGCACCGTGCCTGGCACGCGGGAGGCAGTCATTAAAGTTACTGAAAGCACGAACAAGGCCAAGGCCTGGCTGTCCCAGAGGAGGGCAGTCACTGCGTGTGGGATGGATGAGCTCTGGACTTCCAAGTGTGGTTGGGGCCACACAGGAAAGCTCTGGTCTAATCCCAGGCTGAGGACAAGAGGGAGAGGAGTTTGAGAGGAGATGATACCCCCAGCTGCCGAGGGACAGTAACAAAAATTCCTAAGAAAGCTTCGATCCTCCTTTATATGTTTGCCCCATTCCTACCCCTCCCCCCCAGCAGGTAACATGGGGCAAGTACCACGGACTTCTTTCCCCTCCCCTTCTTAATATAACTCTTCAAATCAACTTCCTTTTACCAGATTTCATCTGGACAAGCATACTGAAACAGGGCAAGGAAACATGCTGTATAACCTCCCAAGGATCCCAACCCCCCAGGCCCTCAAGGAAGGAAATGTGCTCTGCTATGAGGCAGCTGAAACTTGACAACTCACCTAAGTGGCCCTGTTTCTAGCCAGCAAAGCTTCCTACAGACTAAGGGTCAAGCCGCTGAACTGCACGGGACCAATAGGCTGAGCAGGAAGGCCCCTGCAACTTGACTCTCCCTGACAGAGATGTTGGCCTCCTCTGGCTGATGACCCTAAAAGCACTCCAGTGGAACTTCAGTTTCATGACCCGGGCCCTCTGTTATGAAATGCTCTATTTTCAAAGTTCTACTACCTACTAGCTTTCAATAAATAATTTTGTTGAAAGAATGCAAAACCTGCTTCTAAATTACTGTTGGAGAACAGAATTCCACTTCTTTGCCCATAAAAAAATTTTCTTTGAGATAGGGTCTCGCTTTGCCTTGAGCTCCCTATGTAACTCAGGCTGGCCTCAAACTCATGACAACCTTCCTGGCTCAGTCTCCCAAGTGCTGGGATTACATGTGCGCACCACTATGCCCCGGTAACAGATCTTTATATACCATAAATCACATTTGTTAAGTAATTACTATTTGGCAAGGACTTCTGTATTTCCATATTAACCCATCTCATCTCTCAGCAATTTAGATAGGACTATCACAAATCTCCACGTAGCTGTGAGAAATCTGAGGCACAGAGATGAACTCTTCCAAGGTCACGTGGCAGCTGTGGCTCAAGAGCACGTTCCCAACTCCTGGGTCATTATTGTTTCCTGTTTACCACGGTTCAGGCCAGGCTTCTGTTCTGGTTAAATGCCCAGTTCCTTCTTTCTCTGGAATTCTGCCCAGAGATAGCTCCTCTAATCACGGAAGTACTGTCTGCCAGTGTCCTGAGCAATGGTGTATCTACATCAATGCCAACACCCAGTGCCAGGCCATAGGCAATGGTGTCTCCCGGCCGGGACAACTGCTATCCAACACCAGGAAGGATGAACGATTACCCCAAATCACACAGCCAGAAAGTGAACCAGCTTGGACTCGAGTCCAGGTCTGGTTCTGATTCTAAACACATGCTAGTAACCCCATGGGGGATCACTTCCTTTTTTTTTTTGGTTTTTTTCCGGTACCAGGAATCAAAGTCACGACTTTGTGCTTGCCAGGCAGGCACTGTGCCGCTGACCTAAATCCCCAGCCTCTCATTTCCTTATATAATGTTTTTATTTTGTTCAAAGGCCATAATTATCCACCACCTTATTTAGTTTTCTTATTCCTGGCTGGAGTCATTATCATTTTACCCATGAGCAGCTGGTGGAGGTGCGGAGCCTAAAAACATTAAAATGTATTTCCGAAAGGAACCCACTGCCAGGAGAGTGGTTTTTTCCACTGCTGATATAACTCCTTCCAAAAAAATACCACCGATTGACCCATTTATTAAGAGCCAGGGTAATGCCAAATGCTTGACTTACATTTTCTCCCATAAGGTAATACCCATTTTACAGGTGAAACACTGAGGTTTCCGAAGAATAAAAAACTGTCACTGAGCCCGGAAAGCGGATGACCACACCGGCACACGCGTTAACCGACAGAATTTATTTAACCCTTGACACAGCCGGCGCGGATTCCCCTTCCCTGCACTCACGGGGCACGGACGACAGGACAACATCAGGGTCGGACAGACTAGAAGCGCCACCCGGGGGGTCACAGCCTGGCCCCAGGCCATCCAAACGCCCCTCGAGTCCCCAAAACAACCGAAGCCGGAAACGGAGGCGGCAGGGGGCGAACTCGCTTTTCCCCCGCGGCACTAAGGGCGCTGGTGTTTTTCACTAACGAAGCGCTGGAGAAGTCTGAGGCTCAACGAGGAGACGAAAGGAGCCAGGGCGAGAGGAAGGGCTTTGGACAGAGAATCAGGGTGTCCGGGGTGACGCCCCAGGTCTCCACGATCCGAAAAGACCGCCCTGCCTCGGCGGGCCTCAGTTTCCCCTCCTAGGCAAGGGGTCTGAGCGAGACCGGGCGGGTCCAAACTTCAATACTCCCCCAGTGCTGGCCAGAGGAAGCGCTCGGCTCCGCCTCTCGGGAAACAGCCGCCATGGGCCAAGTCCCCGGACCCGACCGTCACAGTGCCTGCGGGGCCGCCGCGGCCGGGGCACTTACAGCCCGGAGGGACGCCAGGCCCACCAGCCGCCGCGGCAGCGCGCGCCTCATGCTCGCCATCTTGGACCAGCTTCCTCCGCGGCGCCCGGCCTACGTCACTGCCGGTGGGCGTGGCCCTGACTTGGGTGGAGCCTTGGGAGTGACGTGAGATGCCCTGCCCACGTATTAGAGCTCACATTGCTTTTATTTATTCCTCTATTTCAATATTTATTTTTTATTAGTACATGTTTGCAGGACATAACCAACATAAGGTAGCGGTATGCATCCACCCAAATAGCTGAAATTAAAAAGCAAGAAAAACCAGGGATGGCGGCTCAAGCCTGTAATCCCAGCCCTCGGGAGGCCGAGGCAAGAGGATTGCCGCGAGTTCGAGGCCAGCCTGGCTATATAGTGAGTTCAAGGCCGGCCTGAACTACAAAGCAAGGCCCTGTCACAAACAAACAAACCAACAAACCTAAACAAAAGGCAAAAGAAAGCGAAAAAAAGAAAGAAGGCAGACAGGCAGGTAGGCAACCCGAGTAAGAATAGCAGATACTCAATATAGGCATGTACCACTGGTAGGAGTTAAAACCTTATAACCACTTTAGAAATCGAATTGGTGATTTTTTTTTTTTTATAACATTATTCAAACCGGACGTGGTGGCCCACGCCTGTAATTCCAGCACTCGGGAGGCTGAGGCAAGAAGATCCTTGCAAGTTCAAGACCAGCCTGGGGTACAAAGTGAGCTCAAGGCCAGCCTGAACTGCATAGCAAGACCCTGCCTCAAAAAAGACCAAAAACAAACGAACAAACATTATTCAAACATCTGTTCCATGACCCAGAAATTTTAGGTATCTACACAAGAGATCAGAAAATACAAGATCACAAAAATAGTTGCATAAGAATATTTTACGTCGTCTTATTTCTAGGGTCTTTTTTTTTTTTTTTTTTTTGCCGTTTTCATGCTGTTTTTTTGGCTTTTCTCCGGTACCGGGAACCGAACTCACGACCTTGAGCTTGCTGGGCAGGAGCTTTGTCGCTGAGCTAAATCCCCAGCCCTTTTTTTTTTTCCGCGGGTACCGGGAACTGAACTCACGACCTTGCGCTTGCCAGACGGGCGCTTTTGCCGCTGAGCTAAATCCCCAGCCCCTATGTCATCTTATTTCTAACAACCCTAAATTACAAGTAACTGAATTGTCCATCCAAAAGAGAATACATTAGCATATAATATATTCATACAATTAAGTACTAGTCATCTATAAGCAGAAACAACAGTTGAAACATGCAACAGCTGCGATGAAGCTCAAAGACATGAAGTAAAGTTAAAAAATTAAAGGAAAAACACATGTGAAAATAACTGATCAATTTATCCTCCATGAGGAGCAGAGGAGCACGAGTCCCTGCCTTTCCGGGTCAATCGAACCCTTGCACCAACGCAACAGATGCTCCCTGGGGCCCTTCGCAGCCAGGGACAGCATGCAGGATACTAATGCTGTCCTCCTCCGCAGTGAGGGATGAGGTTCCTCTGATGAGTGACTTTGACTTGAGACATGCCATCGGCTCATGGAAATTCCCTTGGAAATTCTGAACTGTGCTGTTGTACGAATTCTTTATACCCAATGTTTCTTCTTTTACTTTTTTTTTTCTTTTTTTTGAGACAGGGTCTCACTATGCAGTTCAGGCTGGCCTTGAGCTCACTTTGTACCCCAGGCTGGTCTCCAACTCACAATGATTCTCCTGCCTCAGCCTCCCGAGTGCTGGGATTACAGGCATGGGCCACTAAACCCGGCTTTCTTTTCCTTTCAGAGCCTCTGTCATACATTAAAGTCAGACAGTTCTTCCTACTTTCCTACATCATTCTCAATAAATCATTTGTCACTTATTAGAATGACTAGGTTCAGGCCAGATGTGGTGGCACATGCCTGTAATTCCAGCACTTGGGAGGCTGAGGCAGGAGGATTGCCATGAGTTTGAGGCCAGTCTGGGCTACACAGGGAGATCCTGTCTCAAAAAACCAAACAAATAAACTAAAACCAAAACAAACCCAGGA